CTAACGAAACTCGCGGCTGCATGTGTGATGACGCATTTTAGGTTTATATCTCGCAGCATTTCCTTCTACGGACCAGGCTTTATCACAGGATGTTAACAGTTTCTCAGAATAATCGTGACCGTAGATTGCTTCACGTGGCGCAGCACAGACGTTCCCGTTGTTATGGTTGTGGTGAGCGTCACTCGATCCCTACTGACTGTCAGCACCTTTATTCATTGTGCACATTTTGTGGAAAGAAGGGCCACTTCTGCCTTTACAAACAGAATGCCTTCACTGGAGTTAAACACGAAGCCGTGTATTACATGGCCGAGGAGTTGAATTGGAACATAATCAACACCACAATAGTTTTTACCCGCAATCTGTCGGCGGTAAAACCTTTTGCCGTATCTGTGTAGGTAAATAATCAGCCTGTGGTTTTAGAACTTCATACTGGTTCAGCAGTTGCATTGCTACAATCGGATGCCTTATCGAAGCTGCCAAAACCAGACCCACCTAAAATTCAACTGTGATCTTACACCGGGCAGATGATAAATGTCATCGGAACTTTTGTTGCACGTATCTCTTATCGCAGTTCCACTAGCCATATGCGTGTGTGTGTGTGTGTGTGTGTGTGTGTGTGTGTGCGTGTATCTGACTGGTCGTCCAAATATACTTGGTCGCGACTGCACCAAAGGTTACCTCAATACTATGTCCAATGCCAACTCAATTGAAGCTCATGTGCAAAATCCCATATTTTGTCGAAACAGTCTTGTTCCACCAAACCATGCTTGTGAGGTTGAAGAATTACAGTGCACATCTGATACTTAGACCAAAGATAACGCCAAAATCTTGGAAACCGCGCTGTGCCTTACGCCCATTGGGGCAAAGTCGAAGCTGAACTACCGGCTCAAGGAAGAAGGTACGATTGAACCCGTTCAGTACTCAGACTGGGCAGCACCCAGTGTGTCCGTATTAAAGAGTGATGGAACTGTAAGAATCTGTGGAGACTACTGTTACGGTCAATCAGGCACTACGGCTCGACTGATACACGTTGCCATGTATAGAAGATAATTACGTTTCACTGTCTGATGGTGAAGATTTTACCAAATTGAAACTGAACCATGCGTACCAACAGATTGAACCCGACGACGAATCGCGGGCTTACACAGCCATAAGCACTCATATTAGGTTATTCTGCTGCACACATATGCTGTTCGGAATTAGCTCCTCATCAACTATATTTCAACGGATTATTGACTTACTGGTGGAAAAACACCAAGTACATGTGCCTACCTGGATGATAACCTAATTACAGGGCGAACCATTGCTGAACATCTGCACATTCTGGGTGTATTCCTAAAAAGCCATCAGACTCTGTGCTGATACTGAAAAACAGGTGAGTTTCTTGTCTCAAGTGTACAATACCTAGAGAATAAACTGTCAAGCGATGGGTTGCATCGGTTAGAAGAAATAACAAGGGCAATGATTAAAGTCCCAGGTCCCAGAAGGTGAGCGAACTGCGATCTTGTCTAGGAGCAGTCACTCGGTTCTCTCGGTGCATACCATCAGCATCAACTTATTTGCATCCACTTCATCATCTTCTACGCAAGATTCAACCATGCAAATGGAACGCGGCTCACGAGAATGCTTTCAACGCCGTAAAGAAACTCTTGGCATCAGCTGATATGCTGATACATTATGATCAATGAATGCCGACCGTCCTCTCCAGTGCTGCCTCTCCTTACGGCCTTGGAGCCGTTTTGCTACGCAAACTACCTGATAGTTCGCAGCGACCTGTTGCTTACGCTTCACAAACCTTAACTGAAGCCGAAAGGAACTGCTCTCAGCTCGATGGCGAAATAGCCACCGTTGTTTTCGGTAGCAACCGATTCTACCAGTACTTGGTCGGCAAGAATTTCGTGATTCACACAGACCACAAGCCCCTTACCTAGCTCCTGAGACAAGAAAAAGATTTTAACTAATGGTCTCACCCAGAATGATCCACTGGTCCCTCATCCCATTCGCTTGCGCATACCAAATGCAGTATATGCGTGACCGACAGAATACTGTCACCGATGTTCTTAATCGACTTCCCCTATCGGATGTGCGTTTGGAGGAATTTACTCTCCAAGAGCTTATAGTTCAATATATAGTTCAATAGTGTATGGTGGGATAAAAAGCAATAACTTTACAAGACCCACAGGATGGCAAATGGAAGGAAACAAAAGTTTCAGGTGTGACACAAAAATATCAGTAAGTTAGACACTGCAGTTTGTCATACCGTTATATAATGTGTATCATGTAAGTGCAAGTCCAATAGTCTTTCGAATGTCTCGATGTTTGGTGCGTTCACCACATGCGATGGCAGTGCGTTCCAGTGCGGACAGACACTAAGAGAGTAAAAAAACTTTCTACAATCTAAACGGGAATATTGAGTCACAAGTTTTAGTGCATGGCCTCGGCATCGTTTGTCGGCAGATAATGTTAACAGCGACTTATAAATCTAATTCAGTTGTTCAACAAGACCCCGTCACATCCACAGATTTAAGTCAGGAGACCGATAGAGCTTCGCTATTAGCGCATGTAAAGCTTTATGCTCAGATTGGATGGACCGAAAACGTATGCCTTTCGCAATAGGATGACTGAACTCTGTCTCCAAAACAAAGGTTTTCTGTGGGGTGCACGCGTCGTGGTTTCTAAAAGATTGCGATCAAACATGCTGGGGGAACTTAACGACGCTCACCCAGGAGTTGCTAAAACATAGGCACTTTTCCGTTTCTATTGTTGGTGGCCCGAGTCGGATAGTCATATTGCGGCAAAAGTTGGGTGTTGCATGCTTTGCCAGGAAGCTGGAAACGCTGCCCCTTGGGTACCGATGCAGCTTTGGAAATGGCCAGAAAAGCCCTGCAAACGCCTCCAGGTGGATTTTTTCGGTCCATTCGAAACTCAGATGATACTGTTAGTCCTTGACGCCCAAACTATGTGGATTGATGCCCACATTCTGGCCACAGCGACATGGACCAGCACAATAATCACACTGCGCACTTTATTCGCTGCCTTTGGACTCAGAGAAACACTAGTGTTGGACAGCGGATTTGCTTTTACCAGCGTCGGATTTTCTACCTTCCTCGCTTCAAATGGACTTAGACACATAACGACTGCTCCTGGTCATCCATCTTCAAACGTTTTGGCTGAAAGAGCTGTGCAAACAGCGAAAAAATTATGCTTAAACAAACGAGTGTGTCCTGCTTGTGCGCCTGGATTGTGCTCATTTTGCTTACCGAAATATGGTGAACGATACCACCGGAAGAAGTCCTGCGAAACTAATATTCGGTCGTCGTTTGCCTACACGACTAGGCTTCTTGCGCGGTAGTCTAGGACTTGGAGTCTTCGATAAACAAGTGAGGGAAAAAACATTTTTTGCACGCAATAATGACGGACTCGTAACAGAGTCAGACCCCGTCTACATACGTTTGCCAACAGAACCAGGATGGTAGCAAGCGGTCGCGAAGACAAATCATAGAGGCGATGACGGACGGCAAGTTAGTGCGACGTCACCTGGATCAGCTGCGTTCAAGGTCGTCAAATTCCGAGTCAATATATGGACCAAACACATCACCTCCATTGTCCAACGACACGCGTGACTTCATGCCGGAGACTGAAGCCCTGTTGCGTGGGTCAATACGTGACCGCCGACGGGTCGACTGCTTTCAACCTGGCTAGTTGGAACCGCAGTGTATGCGCGCGTGCGGCTGTTTGTGTGTTGCATCAATACGTGTATGTGATTCGTTCCGTATCTCCAATGTGCTCAGCGCAAACTGCTGTCTGCTTACCCAACAAACCCTTGTACACATACATGACTAATTGGTCTTACGATATACATCCATTGCTCTGTACATGTGTCTCATTCCATTCAGGCGTAACAGTGTGTCACGTAAAACCAGAATTCTCCTGTCATTTCAACGTTTCTTTTATAATCCTCACTCCTGTCCTCCTACGGGACTTGTCAACCATTACTTTTTTGCCCGTTCCATATCATTTTTTATGTTGTCCTAAAACTGCCACAACCAGTCATCACGTCAGATTTGAGTCGCTGCGTTTAGCTGATTCACCTAAGAAGAAATTAATGCTTCCAAATTGGCAAACTCAACCACACCAACTCAAAGTTTTACACCACCCCATCAGGGATTACAGATTCAAACGTGATAGGTTTACATCCTGTGAAGAGTCAAACTGCGCTTGCAGAGAAGTAAGTACGGTTGAAAAGTACACATGAATTGAGCCATGGATGTGTGTTTTCGCAGAACTATATCGAAACAGAATATTAGGGGTCCCAATGAAGTGCGCTATAAAACTGACCGAAACAGGCTTCGTGATGGAACTACCGGGTCCAGATCATTTTCACTGTTCGGAGAGCGCTCTTAACTATTACAAGTTAGGCGGCTTAGTTCAACCTATGCGAACCTTCGAACAGGTGGCTGATGTCAATGTCACTTGCAAACCACAGTGGGTTGTACTAATTTCGGAGATGGCCCACTCCAGCTTTGGTGCGATTTTCCGCGATTCCAAAGTGGACGCTGTCTATCGAAATAGCAGGTTGCACAAGTCTTTTCCATCCCTTTAAATAATTCTCTAAATCTAGCTGTGAGCACGAGAAAGTATGTCACCAGAAGCATCCTGATAGCGCCAAGGTCTGAGTGATGTTTGCAAGTTCACCTTACACTTGGAAGTCACAAGAAAGCGTGATATACTCTAAATCAAACTGCAAGCTCGAGATTGTTTTTCATCGCTGTTGTCAGCGCTGCTGCCTTTGGAGGGATATGGAAGCGAGATAAAACTCAAGCCAGTTGGCGGTGGCTGTATGCCACTTACTGAGTGGCAGTTGGTTATTTTACGGGACAGCAGACTAATCGGCACACCTGTCATGCTGAGCAACGTGGTGACGGTAGCTAGTGAGAAAACTCTCAGTTGTGTAGAACAGGTCACCTGGCATTGAAACTATGGAAGGAAAAGTAAGGAACCCACCTTAAAATCCAAATATTATGCCCACGTACAAGGAGTTACAACATTGTATGGCGACGAACAAGTAATTCGCATCCAACCGATTCGGAAACGATGAATGATCAAATGCTAACCGAAACTGTAGATTCCTAACAGATGACCCCATTACATTCAAGGCTTAACAGACAGCCCATACTGTCCGGGAAGGAATGTACTCCAATCACTCATGGGGTTAGCTTGGTACAACCAGATTCGGGGTCATTTGCCATTGAACATAAAAGCAAAAACGAACAGGTCATGATCAAGCATCCGTTTCATTCTTAGCCCATGTTGCAACAAAGCCGTTCTTTACATGAAACCCACTGACCCCTTGTGGTTGGACAGACGGGTCTTTTTGTTGGTTGGCAGCTGCTTAACAACAGCGCCGTCCACGGTTGCCGACACTTTGAATAATCGTTCCGTCATCTTTTTCGCGTCGAAGTTGGGTTTCTGCAGTGGCTTATGCTTATGAACAAATTCACGATTGGATTCAAGAGGAATTGAGTTTGTCGACTGAATTTTTGGTGGAATATCCAATACTTGCTGATTCGGTTCCTCGCCTTTACCACTGGGGCTTTGAAGTGTCAGAACCGCCCCTGGTTCAATTTCAGGCAGACTATCAGAACTAAGGTGACTCTTCCAAGAAGGACTCGCCTCTTCCTGTTCAGCGATTTCTGGCTCCTTAGGAGGAAGTGGGGTTGCTACTACCTCTGTTACATTGGTTGTATCCTGGCGGTACATCGTTAAGGTCACCGTGGTCGAAGCTCTCTCATCCGACGTTTTCCATCCAGGATGTGAAGGATACTTGGGACTTGGTATAGAATTGTCTAATTCACTGAATTCAGAGTCTTTTGAAATATCTGACCAGTTTGAAACCTTTGCGTTTGGCGTAGCAATGGGCGTTCCCATCATTGTTGTTGGACTCAACTTTCGGTGCTGTGCTCGTGGAAGCATCAACCCAACTCTGCTCACTTTAGATGCTAGTGAAACTTCCTTTTGCTGTACACCAGGAACCAGCTTGGAGTCACTTGGTGGTGGAGATGGAGAAGCAGATGACACATCACGGTAGGCGACTTCCTCGGGTTCTTCCGAATTCAAAATATGTAGGTTAAAATTGCGCTGATTTATTTCATAGCTTAACCAGTCCAACTGGCTAGTGTCGATAGACAACGGATTCAGCACAATGCTCGGTAAAATAGGAAGTCTGCTGCCGACGAGATTCGCAACCGTGCCTTGGTCCGTAGTTAATTGGTATAATAGGGCGTTCTGGTCAGCTGGATCGTATTGGAAGAGGTCTGTCTGAGCCCTTATGATAGGAAGAAGTTGGAGGTCATCCATAGCGTCGTCTGGACCGATCAGTGGAGCAATGGGTAAGTATCGATGCGCTCTCGGACTGACACTTTCTATGGCTTCTGCAATCTGCTCATTGGTAGTAGTCAGACGAGCGGCAGTTATGGGTTCTACTCGAGACGAAACTGGCACTGTGGAGCCTTGTTTGTCGACGTGCTTTTGAACCAGCACACGTGGTCTGTAGTAATGAGTTAACAGTGCTCTCACCCCGGCGAAATGCTCAATCAAGCAAGGCTCCACGTGACGAGCTAGTAACGCTACCCGTTGAGCCCTCAGGTTGAAATCCCTACCGTCGCTTGTTATCCATGTCAACACTGACAAAATTAACCGTTGTTTCAGTTTCTCGATATCGCCCAATCGACGTGCCAGGCTAAAGGCCTTTTGGAGCAATACGTCACTATTGTCGAGCACTGAGGACACATCAGTATGTGTTACGTCCGGAGCAATCGGGCTGAGCAAATTTGGTGGCAACAGCTTGATACTGGCGTGGGCTTCCATGGTGGCGATGGCCGCAGCTGCTGGTGCAACTGTTCGCGTTGTGCATTTGCTTAGACGAGCCAGTAAACGAGTTCGGTAAGAACGTACTTCATCTGCACTTTTGCTGGGCCTTTTAATGAAACTGCGCTTGTATGGGTACAAATGATCCCACCAGTGTTGGGCGATACAGTCAAGGAAATGAAGAAGTGTTTGAATTCGACGTCGGTAAGCGTCGATTTCAGTGGCAAGGGCAGTGCCACGTTGAGTGCTAGAACTTAGCACATTGGGTGAGGGAGCGCGTGAAATATTTTTTCTTTGGAATGGTGATTTGTCGCTCCCTCGGATGACTTCTAAGTTATTAACACGATTTGACATATTCAGATCAGGTAGTACCGGATTGTAAAGATTACCGCACGGTAATACTGTCTGAGGTTTCGAAGCCAGTCATATGTAAGGAGGCTTATTGTAGGTAGATTTATTCAGTGAGCGCACTCCGGTGATGCGCAGACGAAGTCGGTCAGAAGCGCCAAATGCCAATCAATGCGATCTTGTTTAAAGATCGTGTGACCTAACACAAATCGATAATTATGACCTACCTGCGCTGAAGAGCGCCGCAACAGTTCACAAAACCAATACCAGGGAGTTGTTTGGCAAAGATTTTAGGTTTGAAAGACCGTAAACGTTAGCTTATTCGGAAAACCGAGGAAGACGTTCGCAAAAAATCCCCACCAGATTCCACTCTAGCATGTAGTGGATTCGCACGTGGCTTTAATCTATTGTTCAGTTGTATACACATTATATTTATTCACAGTCTGTTAACAGACATTGCGCCATCAGAACCATGACAGACGAAAAAAGTGAAGATGGGAACACGAACTGCGATTAGAACGTATGGGAAACGATTTTTTGGTTTTACACACGCCATTTTGTATTTTTTGTTTTGTTTTGTGAGTTTTTGTGTGCATCAAAGGAATGGTAAAATGCAGAACAACATTGGCACCACTGCTGTCTGTTGCGGGCCATGACGTCCAATGTTTCCAACCATTGAGATTCAGCATCTCGTGGTCCCCAACCTGGAAGACGGACTGGTCCGACTGCCGCCAAACTTGAGATTGCTTCCTTCATGCTCCTTCTCCACGTCATCGGCTGTCCACCGCGGCACTTTTTCCAATCGCTCCCTGGGAGTGCAAATAGCGCTCGACGTGGAAGGCGATGGGCTGGCATGCACAGAACGTGCCCGAGCCAAAGCATGCGATGCCGGAGGATAACCTCCCGAAGACTGGCACTATTCGCCCAAAGCAGGTGATCTCGCACCTATGCGTTGCTTACACGGTGTTGCCACCACACCCGAGCAATCCTTCGTAGACAGCGATTGTCGAAGGCTGACAGCCGCTTCATATCTTCCGAGCGAATAGGCCAAGTCTCACAGCCGTACAAGAGTACTGCAAGGACGGAAGCATTGTACACCCTGACCTTGAGGTTGAGACTGACATCACGACGACGCCATAGATGTCTCCGTTTGCTGAATGCAAGGCGGGCCTTTGCAATCCGTTGAGACTTCATCTCAAATACCGCCACCAGCCGTGATGCAACTCCCTAGATAAGTAAAGCAAGGGACTTGCTCCAGAACATGTCCAGCAATGGTGAGCGCGGGTTCAGGCATCTGCCAGTACTGGAGCAGCGTTTTACATTTTCCCGTAGTGAAGCATAAACCGTACTTAGACGCCTCCATCGCCAAGCGGTCCAAAGCGCTCTGGACGGATTTTGGATCGTCCCCCAGCAAGGCGATATCATCGGCGTAGTACAAGTCCGTGACTCTGTCTCCAGGGAGGAGCTCAACGCCGCAGTCCTGGACACCTTCTAGTGCTATTTGGAAGACATCTTCGATGGCGAAATTGAAGAGGAAAGGTGAAATAGGGCAACCTTAGCGAACACAGCTGGTCACAGCAAATGAAGAAGAGTGCCCTGACTTTGACCGACGTGTGACTGTAAAGTTCTTTCAGGATAGTTACAAACTTGTCGGGCACACCTTTCTTCAGTAAACAGTTCCACAACGCAGATCTATCTACTGAATCAAATGTCTCTCGGATGTCCAAAATGACTACGATTGTTGTCCGCCGGTGGATGTGACGAAGTTCGAGAACTTGCCGAAGCGTGAAGATTTGGTCGATGCAGCCGCAGCCTGGACGAAATCCGGCTTGTTCTTCTCGGGAAAACTAATCTTTATTCGTTGAAAGCCTGCTAAGTAGGACCGACACGAAGGTTTTGGATGCCACAGAGATTAACTAGATTCCACGGTAGTTACAGCAATCGAAGCGGGAATTGTTCAGTTGACCAAGTCAAGTCAAGTTTGGGGCAATGGTGCCACTCAGACAAAAATCTCACTGCAGTGCGATAGACGTTCGAAGCTGAGAACCGTAGGGCTTGACCTGAGTCCTCATATTATCTGATGTCTTAGAAGAGTTCAGTATATATATATATATATATATATATATATATATATATATATATATATATATATATATATATATAGCCATCAGACTATGAATAGACATAGAGCCATCAGAAACCATAGAACACAAAATAAGGTACCGAAATAGTAAAAGCAAAAACAACACAGCGCATTAAAGTCCATGGTTTCGTCAGAGGGCGAGATACTACCCGCTTGCACAAGCCGAAGTAGGGTGTTGACCTATGGGACACCACCCCGAGCCTTTGGCTGAATAGTCTGCCCGCAAGGCAGCGGAGCGAGTTCAGGGAATCACGCTCATTGGGAGACAGTGACTGATTCCTCAGTTAATACGCCTTTCGTTTGTTCCTTTGTCAAACAAAGCACAATGCTTCCCAGAATTACAGCACAGTTGCTGGAATACAATTCTTCGCCAGGATAAAGCAAGGGACAGTGAGTTTATTTAGAGGCGAGTCACGTCCGGCACGTCACAGTGTTGTTAAACGGACATATGTAGTTTCTTATAGGGAGAACGCTTACCAGGCGAAAACCCACCACGTCCTGGAACACTGCCGCCAAACCATTTGCTGGAACGGGAAAATCCCGAACCACTCAGCTGGCACCACGAGAAGGTTGTTCGGCAAGCCAGTCAGAGGGCGAGATACTACCCTGTTGCCCAAGCCGAAGTAGGGTGTAGACTTAGGGTTGAAAAACATCTACGAATCGTTCCAGTACCTCAAGGACTGCTTGTGATGAGCCACAAGCAAATCCCAATCTGTATCTGCAATTACATTCCCGAGATGAATCTGCTCCTCACTGCCTAGCAGGTCAGGCAATGAAGTGAAACGCTCCGGGCGGAGTGCCTCAAGCAAAACCGTAAATCTCTCTCCGCATTGTCGGTCAGGTTATTGAGCCAAAGACTCCGGATGAAGCCAATTAAGCAAACCTCCGAAGCACAACTGCCAAGTCGCGTGAGATTGCCCACAAATGCAATCGTATGCCTGCGCGCAAAACACTCAGCATCGGGTGCTGGAACGTGCGCATACTACTGGATCGAAACTCGAGTGAGCGTCCCGAGCGACGCACTGCACTAGTCGCAATGGAATTGGTGCGCTACAACATCGATATTGCGACGCTCAGTGAGACTCGGCTCGCTGAGCAAGGTAAATTGAATGAAGCAGGTGCTGGCTACACGTTCTCCTGGATGGGCAACGCCACCTCAGCACCACGTGAACATGGGGTCGGATTTGCAATATCCGATCGCTTCCATGGCCAGCTCGTAGGTGAACCAACAAGCATCAGCGCGCGACTGATGACTGTTCGCCTACGACTCGGAAAAGGTAAGTTTGCCACTTTTATAGGCACGTACGGTCCGACCATGTGTTATCCTGATGACACGCGTGATCAGTTCTACACTGAGCTATCCTCCGTGATACGGTCTGTGCCGAGGAGCGACCGACTATTTCTGCTGGGTGATTTCAACGCGCGCGTTGGGCGTGATGCATCAGCGTGGACAGATGTTATCGGTGCGCATGGCATTGGTTCAGCGAATGCGAACGGTGACAGGCTGCTCTCACTGTGTGCCACTCACGGCCTGACGATCACGAACACTCGGTTTGCACTGAGTGCGAGTGATATAGCAACTTGGACGCACCCACGGAGTGGTCACGCTCACCTGCTCGACTATGTCATCGTACGTCAGCGTGATATGCGTGAAGTGCGCATGACACGTGTACTGCGTGGAGCTGAGTGTGGCACTGATCACAAGTTGGTGCGGACCAAACTGTACATATATTTTCGTAAATCGATGTATTGCACTCCCGCCGTGAATCGGCGTAAATTTAACATTCTCTCCCTCGGTACTGTGGCGAAACGTACTGAGCTGGAGAAGGCGATGGCTGCACGCCTGTGTGATGTGGACTGCATAGCCACAGTGGGCGACCTGTGGCACCACATTCGCGACCAGGTGACAGCTGCTGCCGAGGAGACCATCGGGCGCGCAAACTGTAAGCGGCCTGATTGGTTTGATGACAACAATGCGACGATCGGCGCATTGGTGTCGGAGAAGAATGCAGCATTTGCTGCACATGCTGCAGACCCCAGTGACTTGGGGAAGAGTAGTCAGTTTCGCAAACTTCGACGGCGACTGACCCGAGAGCTCCGTCGCATTAAAAATGCATGGTGGACGGAGAAGGCGAAGCAGATGGAATGCTACGCCGAACGCCGTCAACACAAGGAATTCTTTGACTCCTTGAAGGCGGTGTATGGACCGAGATTGGAGCCGCTGAGGACACTGATCGATGGTAGTTCAGGCGCTACCTGCACACAGACTGCAGACATAATGCAGGTCTGGCGGAAACACTTTGACTGTCTCTTGAACAACCGTTCAGAGATCGACTGGCCTACATTGAACGGCCTGAAGCAGCACGATGTGAAGGCGGATCTGGCGGATACGCCGAGACTGGATGAGACGCAGAGAGCACTTGCTCAGCTGCGAAACGGCAAATGTGCCGGAGGCGACGGGATCCCACCTGAAGTATTGAAACACGGTGGACCCGCGTTGTTGACTGCGCTGCACCACTTGGTGCAACGCGTGTGGATTGAGGAGGAGGTGCCTCCTGAGCTGAAGGATGCCCTTGTGCTACCACTGTACAAGGGCAAAGGTAGCAAGCAATGTTGCACGAATTATCGTGGCATCAACTTGCTGAGTTGTGTGGGCAAGGTGATTGCCCGAATCCTGCTCAATCGCCTCGTGAGTCAGGTTGTGGAACCTAACGTGGCGGAAGAGCAGTGTGGATTCCGTTCGGGTCGCAGCACTATAGATATGGTGTTTGCGGCTCGTCAGTTGCAAGAGAAGTGCAGAGAACGACACCAGCCATTGTACTCGCTTTTTGTTGATTTCACCAAGGCATTTGATACGGTGAACCGCGAGGCATTGTGGCTGGTGTTGGGTAAGTTTGGTTGCCCGCGTAAGTTTGTAAGTTTAATTGAATGTCTGCACAGTGGTATGCGAGCGAGGGTGCAGCTGAGTGGAGAGACCTCGGATGACTTTGCAGTTGTCTCTGGTGTGAAGCAAGGCTGTGTCTTAGCTCCTG